CAAAGAAGCCCAGACTGTTTCCTGCCACCATGTCCTCGATCTTGTCCAGCAGCTGTGTGACCTGAGTGCGGTCGCCCGTATCCATATTGTTGAGAACATGATACCTGTTCCCACAGCTCTCTAAGAGCTGCTGCAGGTCTCTCCCCTGTGTGTCAATGTACTGCTCCACTGTCTCCTGTCCCAGACTGTCCCCATGGGTGAAGAGGACGACAGTGCAATTCAGGACAGCCTCCCCAAACACCTCGGTCATGGTCAGCAGGGCGCCCTTCTCCTCGTCCGTCAAGCGTCTGGCCGGCAGCACCAGCAGGAAAGCGTGGGGTCCTGGGGAGGACAGCAGTAGGCACCTCCGGACCTCCAGACACACGTCCCTCTGGCGCCCCCTGCTGTCCAGGAGGTCTGGCGTGTCGATGACGGAGAGCTGCCTCCCAGCAGCCTCCCCCCTGCGTCTCTCGCAGGTCTGGGTGACTGCGGACAGGCTGGGCCGGGAGGGGAACTGTGTGCTGCCCAGGAGGGTGTTTCCTGCTGCGCTCTTCCCAGCACCAGTCCTGCCCAGCAGCACCAGTCTCAGCTCAGAGGGGCGGGGCTGGAGTCTGGGTTTGACTGCAGGGTCCCCTTCACTCACTGCAACAGGAGAAGAGACAGGAGCATCAGGGAGGTTACACATGAATTAGATGAGCAAAGTTAGTTGTCTCAGGATCCCACTATACAAGTTCTAAATTGTTTTCAAATCACACCTGTTTCTACATTAAAGTTCCATATAAGTTTATAGCCCAAAAAACATCAGGAAGAACGGAGATGAGAGAAACTGAGATGAGAGGAACTCGCTGATCATTTTCCAGCAGCACTTCTTTTCTTGAGGGAAAAACTAGGTTTTATTTGTTAAAGTGCCAGTGAAGTTTTTAATCTAAGAAATGGCCAAAAAAACAACAACAATATGAACAGAAAAAGAGATCAAAATCCAAGTCAAACCTATATTATCAAGCCAGAATTTTATACCAAGCAAATATCCATCAGTGACTTTCTAAGTATTTATCAGAGATGTTCAAGCAAATATTTGTCAGTGATTTTCTGTGAATAACACAAAAGGTTTTGTCAACTTGGTTTTCAATTTCATCTTCAAAAGCATAAATATTGGACCTTGTTGTCACCTGTGGTCTCCCTGTCTGTCCTGGAACTGGGCATCTTGGATGATTTTGGTATTTGTTTTGATGTGGTGTTTCTGTAACTACTGACAAACCTACATGAACTCTTGAGTTTCACAACAACAGGTCTGTTCATTCAGACTGCTGCTCCTGTTCTGAGCTCTTCTGTCAGTGATCCTCAGTCAGATACACTGAGGAGCTCCAACAACATCAGATCTGTTC